GGATTTTTCACGCTTCCAGCAGCTTCCCTGCAAGTACTCAGCACGCCATGGTGCACCCTCCCTGGAGGCCCGCAGCCACCACCCCCGTGTGTTAACTTCCTAACAGATCTGTGTGCCAGGCTTCCCTCCCCCAGTTTATCCTATGCCTTGACAGTCTTAACTCGCTCAAAATCTGCTTCCAAGACACACGTGCCCGGGCACCAAAGGCCGAGCAGAAAGCATCTGACGGTTCCTCAGCCCAGTCCCCAGGCTGGCACAGCAAAGTCATCTCCTAGGCCCTCCCCCACTTTCTTTATCTTATCTTCAGTTGCGCTTTTGGACCTCTTGGGCAGAGGGGTAAGGCTGTGGCATGCTCCTGCTCTCGGCACGGCGTCCTTGCCGGCCCACAGAAGCCCCTCTCGGTTTTGTTCACCTCTTCCCTTCGTTCTGTACCCACCCCACCCCCTCCGTCCCTCTCCACATCACAGGCAATGCGTGTGATGCCCTCACATACATGCTCACGACTGGAAAGGAAGCAGCAGCACATTCCGAGTGTGTCTGTTTGATCTACCGGAGCAGAATGGTTTTGACGTGTTCTAACTCAACCCTGTGTGGTCTGTAAGTACGTCCACTTCTAACTGCCTTAATCTGCCTTTACCCGCTGTCCCCTGTCACTGTCCAGTCTATCATCCAGCTTGGCCCAGCTTCCTTCTGCTGCACACAAGGCCACTGCTCCTCTCGTCTTATTATTTCTATAGTTTATCAGTTGATTTTGTTTGGTTTTCTTTTTTTTTTAATTTTTTTAATGTTTATTTATTTTTGAGAGACAGAGAGACAGAACGCAAGCAGGGGAGGGGCAGAGAGAGAGGGAGACACAGAATCCGAAGCAGGCTCCGAGCTGTCAGCACAGAGCCCGACGCGGGGCTCGAACCCACAAACCGTGAGATCATGACCTGAGCCGAAGTCAGACGCTTAACCCACTGAGCCACCCAGGCGCCCCTTGTTTTCCCTGTAGCTGTGCAAACAACGCCAATTCTCCTCTCATGCTGACACATATTTACTTTCTTGGCCAGGAACTCCAGTACGTTAAGGACGGCCTTGAGAGTAGGCATTCTTGCCCTGCCCCCAGTCTTACCGGAGTGTGCCTGAAGTTCATCCTTCAGCGTGACACCCTCCAAGCTCTCCCCGTATTCATCCGCTGCCCTGACCTTTCCCATAGCCTCCTTGGTTGCGCCAGCTCACGGAGAGCTCCTCCCTGGGCCGCTGAGACAAGACACACTCTGTCAATCGACCATCCTTCGTGCACTGACCCGAAAAACTACTCTAAGTACTGTCCACGTAACTTGTGCCTGCTTACAAACCTACCTGACCAAGCAGTCAGCTCCTTAGGACAGGGATGTATATTAAACTCCTCTTTCTACCCTCAGGTACGTAGTATGTGTTTAATAAACACCTGTGGAGCACATAAGGGTGCCACGCTTCGTCAGCTCCAGCTCACGGGCCGGTGTGTTGTGAGTTCAAGGCCAGAAGACAAAACTGGAGGCAGCGAGGATGGAGAACCAAGGCACAGGAGATCCCCCACGCCGGGTAGGAGGCGGGTGCACGCTCAGCCCCAGTGTCCCGTGTGCCGTCACACGCACCACTTCGTTGCGACTTCCCAAGGCCCGGGAGGTCCATATTCCTAAAGAAATTGGCGGCTACGTGCATGAAGATATACCTTACACGTGTTCATCACAGTGTTGTTTATCAAAACTCCATTAAGGGGAGGGGCGCCTGGGTGGCTCAGTCGGTTGAGCGCCCGACTTTGGCTCAGGTCATGATCTCACAGTCTGTGGGTTCGAGCCCTGCATCAGGCTCACTGCTGCCAGCACGGAGCCTGCTTCAGATCCTCTGTCCCCCTCGCTCTCTGCCCCTCCCCTGCTCATGTTCCCCCACTCTCTCTCTCTCAAAAATAAATAAAACATTTTTTTTTAAATCCATTAAGAAGATACAAAAATGAAAAGGCCCGCTGATATGAAGGCAACAAGAAATGCCAACAGAACCAGTGGGCCAGACAGGCAGGTGACCACCAGAAAACCCCAGTTATAAATAAGGACAAGCGGTTCTTACAATCCCAGGGAGGGAGGGAGGCCGGAATCAAAGGTCCAGAAGGACAGGGCAAGCAGTCACTCCCGGCAGCAGGGACCAGTCAGCCCCCAGGCCGACCCAGGCCAGCTGTGTGGGGAGCAGGCTCAGGGCACAGGCCTGGGTGACCCAACCAGCCTGGGGCTCGACCAGAGCCTTTATAGCCCACGGTTAGGGCCTGGAACCCAGGTGGACGGAAGCAACCTGCTGGGCTGCTGTCCCTTTGTCAGCTTCCTGTCTAAGTCTGTTTTCAAGGGCTCACCCAGTTCGCAATTCTCTTTGTTCTCAGCCATTTACAAATAGGTGCTCTGATTAAAGCTTTCTGATGTGGCCGTGACTGCCTTGTAAAGCTGTTGGGCTGTTTTCTGCTTACCAAGAATGGTACTTCACAGCCGGTATAGACTATGCCTTGCAAGGGCCTGCTTAACCAAGACCAGTCACCTTGTTAGTATGGGGTGAAGGTGCGGGTGGCGCCTCCCACCTCCAGGCACCCATTTAGTCCCTCCCAGCCGGGCATGGATCTCTGTTCATATTTTACCAGTAAGGAAACTGGGGAACCATTACTTGCCCGGGGTCACAAAGCTAGTCAGCGGTAGAGCCGGGCTTCAAACCATGCCTTTCTATCTCCAGAGTCCACACTGCCATCATCTCCAGTTAGGACAGGGGTCTGGGCTCACTCATGGCTCCCCCAGCCCAAGGAAGTGGGTGTGTCTACACAGAGACCCTCAGTGAAGCGTGCAACTCGACACCAGCCCAGTGGGTTGTAACAGATGGCATGGGTCAGAGCGCAGAGGTGCAATCACCAGCACGGCAACAGAGAGTGCTTCCTGCGAGATTCAGCGCCTTGCATCCCTCAGCGTTTTACCAAGAATTAAATCCCATGTAATCCTTGGGCATTTGAGACAAGAGGAGCGAAAGAGCTGGTCCTTCCTCGGATGTCTGGCAGATGTGTAACCCAGCCAACACTCAGCATGAAAGTACCCACCGGCCACGCCTCCCACAGAAGCGCTCCAAAATCCCACCACCGGCCACTCAGCTCCTCCCCAGGCCTTGCCTTCCTGGGTGTCTCTCACCCCAGAAGCCCCTACCCCAGAGCCCATACCCGCAGAGCTCCCACTCCACACGCAAGAGTCTACGAAAATTTTTCCATAGGGCCCAAGAGGAGGGGCTGGAAGTAGGATACATTAAGATGTTACCCTGCCCCTGACAGATTTCCTTCCATAGCACCATCACCTGCCTTCCCAGAAAAGACAGGCCTTCCTTTACCCTGGGACATAAGTGACCCACCTGCCCTGAGAGGACTAAGGAGGGCAATAGGTGAGGCCCTTTTGCATAGAGGGCTATTTTTAGCCCAGCCTGGGTCAGCATGTGCTTGTGGCTGGTCGGTAAACAGGTCCATCAAAGGAGCCATGCTCAAGTACAAAGGCAGTCAAGAATCTTGCTCTTGGAAGGGTTTATGAGCTCAGATCCACAGGTTTGAGGAACCTCCTGGCTTGGTCCCACTGTCCACCCACCAAAGCCATCAGTGGTCCTAGCCCAAAGCGTTGAGGGGGAAAATCATGAGAAATTGGCCATTGGGACAGCCACATGAGCCCCTCACTTCCTCTCATGGCGTGAGTCCTCGGAGGAGAGGAAGTGATGCCATTTCAGGACGCTGGTGACCTCCTTCCCCCCATCTCCAGCACCTTTCATCCTTCTTGGTGGGGGCTTACCCTCCAGTATTCATCATTCAGCTTCCCTGCTGACAACCTAAAGCGTCCCCAGAGCCCCGTATCAGATCCCAACTCAGTCTAAGCATCTCAGGACCTTCTCTCCACCTTTGGCTTCTCCTCCTCCCCCACTGGCCAACTGTTGCCACCCCTGTGCGCATGCCGCCCTCTCCCACCTCCAAATACCTCAGGCCTCTGCTGGATTCCCAGGACCTAGCAGGTGCACAGTTGGCACACATAAGAATTTTCTGAATGAATGAGAGAGTGCATGATTACACAGCCTAGCCTCCAAATCCGAGCCAGACTCCTTTCTCATCTCCTCCCAACCCTGCCCTCACCGCACCCCAGTCCTGCTTCAACCCACCTCCGGGTGGTCTTCCCTGATCAATCTCTATAGCTCTGGGTAATTCTACACTCCTACTCTTGCCCCCTAATCCCCCAGCAACAAGACCCAGAACTCCGAAGAACAGCCCCGGTTCTCTCGTGAACTCTCTGACTCAGTTTCTCCCATGTCCCAGCTGGTGTCCGGTGGCCCATCTTCCTGGGAATACCCAAAGTGCAGAGACCACGCTCCCTCCCAAACCTGTACCCCCACTGCCCTCCCTGACTAGGCTCTGGGTAGGAACAGGTCGGGAGAGACTGATATTGACAGTGGATAAAGGGACACGCTTTGGAGAGACAGAAGAACGCAAAGGAGCCTCCTAGAACAAGAAGTTGTTTGGGACACAGCCCATCCACCCTGAGGCCAGGTCATAGGTCCGAGGCCCATAGCCCAGCGATGACCCTTCCAGAAACAAGAGCAGGCTCCACCCCAGGTCCCTGCACCCATTCCCCATAGTCAGAGCGTCGAGTCCAACTGATGCTTCCAGGACCCCTTCCCTTTCTCTGCTTCCAGTAGCAATGGGAGGGGGAGAGGCCATGAGGAAGCTTGTTAATAGCTTTGAAGATGAAACAGGCCTGTGGCTGTGGATTGTTGACACAGCTACACTGAAGAGGCAAGCCTGGTTGGCTCTGAAGAGGCCGGGGTGATGCCAAGCCAATAAAACGCAGCTATTGTCTCTTTGCTGCCCCTTTTAATGCCAGCTGCCCCTGGCGCATAAAAGGGCCTGCCACAGCCCAGGGAGCACAAGCCTTTGGCTCTGTCCTCTGCCAGCTTCTCCACTGCTCCCACACCTTCCTGTCTCCAACATGACCTGTGGCTTCAGCTCCGTGGGCTGCGGATTCGGTCCCAGGAACTTCAGCTGCATGTCGGCCTGCGGGCCCCGGCCCGGCCGCTGCTGCATCACCGCCGCCCCCTACCGCGGCGTCTCCTGCTACCGCGGCCTCACCGGCGGCTTCGGAAGCCACAGCGTCTGCGGCGGCTTTCGCGCCGGCTCCTGCGGCCGCAGCTTCGGCTACCGCTCCGGCGGCGTGTGCGGGCCCAGCCCGCCCTGCATCACCACCGTGTCGGTCAACGAGAGCCTCCTCACGCCCCTCAACCTGGAGATCGACCCCAATGCGCAGTGCGTGAAGCATGAGGAGAAGGAGCAGATCAAGTGTCTCAACAGCAGGTTCGCTGCCTTCATCGACAAGGTGGGTGTCCTTGATCACACCGTCCCTGAACCCGAACCATGGTCAGGACTCCAGCGGGGCACTGAGGAGGGAGTCCGAGGCAGGCCTTTGCCCAGAGAAATCCCCAGCCAAGTCCAAAAGGGGAAGCAGTCACACCCCTAGGACACAGACAGAAAGACTAGATAAACCAGAGTGGTTTATCCAAGCCTTGGGGCTCAGGATCCAGGGGTGAACAACAATCCCCACTCTGTGGGCCTTATAGGGGGGCAGGCAGTATATGGTCTGGACTCAGTTGAATCCATCAGCAGATGTCAGTGTTCGGCTCAAGTCTGCAGCCATCTTCCCCATGAGGGGACGAGGGAGAACTCTCCAACTAGAAAGCAGTTCTGGGGCTGGGGAGGGCTCTCCGGAGCCAGACTGGAAAGAAGTCACTCTACAGAGATGCTCACCAGGAAGGACCCAAAAAGTCTGGAACTCCTACCAACACGAAACACCAAGGACAGTACCGGAAAGGACTTAGCAGGGTTGTAGCAGTCTCGAGACAAAGGGATCTGAATGAGGAAATGGACCGGCCGGGCCAACCTCATGGCAGGGAGATGGAGGTGAAATTTACCCGAGGCCCAATAGTCTGATTATTCTAGAGAGAGAAGAGCCCTCTGTGGGGCAGAGTTTTGAGTCTTTCCTCTGCCACTGTGAGGTCTCAGGCAGCCAGGTAACATCCCTGGGCCTTCAGTTCTGCACCTGTAAAACGGGAGGGTTGGAGTACAGAGCAGGTCTGCCCTCAAATCCCGGGTGACTATCATTCTAATGGCCTTGTTGTTGTGAGGTTTCAATGATTGGCACATACATTATTTTTCAACTTCTGCAGGCAGCCTTTCTAAAAAGGCCAGCCTGCCCATCTGCACGCCGACACCCACAGCTGCCCTGTGTAGTAGCTGTCCGGCCTGCAGGTGCCCAGGCTCACTAAGCCCTTTAGTGAAGTGAGCATAAGCCTCCCACTCCGCAAAGAGGTTAGCTGCTGGGTCTGAGGACACGTGACTAACAAGCAGCAGCAGAGTCTGGGCTCGGCATAGTTTAGCACATTCCGTGGCAGCCCGTAATGGCCCAGGAAAGACCGAAGCGGGCTCTCAGGAAGGACTTCCAGACGAGCTGATGAAGCCCTGGTGTGGTTTTGACATTACACCGGCCGGGGAGGACTCTGGGTCTGAGAGTTGGGGGCCTGCAGGTCCTGGTGCTGGGATCCCCGCCTCTTGCCCCCCACCCCCATCCTGTAAGAAGAAATTCTCAGGCTCTGCCTCTGGGCGGCAGGTGCGCTTCCTGGAGCAGCAGAACAAGCTTCTGGAGACCAAGTGGCAGTTCTACCAGAACCGCAAGTGCTGCGAGAGCAACCTGGAGCCCCTGTTCGAGGGCTACATCGAGACGCTGAGGCGGGAGGCCGAGTGCGTGGAGGCCGACAGCGGGAGGCTGGCCTCGGAGCTCAACCAC